TATATTCATTTTAGTATTGTCTTCTTCCAGTCAAGAGAGCAGCAAGCCTATATATACAGTATTACAGTATTTTCATTACCATCGAGCTATAATCGATGGGCAGGCCCCTATTGGGCAACCTCTGATCAGATGTAAAGTTATATACCGAGCCTACTGTGGCTGAGCGCCTATGAGCGAGCCCAGCATGGTCGAGATACATAGCCTAGTATGGCCGAGCGCCTATGAGCAAGCCTACTACGACAGAGCAGTTATATATACCGAACCTTATAAGGCCGGACAATTATTTTACTTACTATATTGAAGGAGTTGAGTCAGTATCAACAGGTAAGTATATCTCCAGATCATCTTTGACTCCCAATTACTTTCAGTTATTATATTATCAGTTCAGTTTCAACTTTCAGTTATGTTATTGCCTTATATACTCGGTACATTATTTTGTACTGACGTCCCTTTTCTGGGGACGCTGCATTTCATGCATGCAGGTTCAGATAGACAGACGGGTATACCTCCTCAGTAGGTGTTTCCAGAGTTCAGCCTGATCGGTAAGCTCCACGTCCTTTGGAGTTATCGGGTCTAGGTTTTCGTGTACATCTTATGTATGTATGTATGTATGTATGTATGTATGTATATATGTATGTATGTATGTATGTATATATGTTATGGGTAGGTCGGGGCCCTGTTCCGATTATAATATATCCATCAGTAGAGGCTTGTAGACATATCCTGTCAGTTAGTGCACTATGTTGGACTTGTAGGCCTGGTATGTATATTTTGGTGGTTTGTCAGTTGTAGTAGTTATGACGGCCTTGTCGACCCAACTTTATATTGATGTTTAGTCAATGCTAGTTTCCATTCAGTTTTATATTTTGCTTCGCAAATTATCTTGCAAGGTGGCCTCATGGCCAAATTATGACATTATATGTTCACATTCCCTTAGTTGCAATTTGGTACACCGGGTTAGTTGAGGCACCGGGTGCCAGTCTCGCTCCCAGGTCGGGACGTGACATGGTGATTACCATAGTAAACAGTCGCTCCAACATCTTGACCAACAATATTGAATTGAAATTTAGGGTCTAACATAGGTGCCCTTATTCGCATCCTTTAGTAAAATTCTTTATAAGTCAGGACACCATCCTGACAATACCAGCTGACATCATCACCTTATTTTCTTCCATGATTTCTCAGTATTCGACTGATAATCCTTATTCACCAAAGTCATATGTGTTGACTGTATCAGTCCCAATCTATTCTCAACTTATCCTTCCATTTTGAACAAATCTGACACTTCCTGGCTATTAGCCTAAACATCTTGTATTATAACTTGAACCTTGAGCTTTATTCTCATCACTTCAATATCTTCCTCATCAGGTAATCAATACGATCGAGAATTCGTACTCTCACCTCAGGCACAAACGCACGATATAGAGTATGAAAAAAGTGAAACTCCCTAGATGTCATTGTAGCCTCCCTGATATAAGTGTGGCCGGCAACACACCGATATGAGGGACTCTACTTGACACAGCTCCATAGATTTCCTAGGACTCGACTTAGAACCTAGTGTTGTGATACCAACTTTGTCACGACCCAAATTCACGTGACCGACACCCGGCATACTACCCGACCCGAGTGAACCAACCCATATGTCAAGACCAAGTATAATTGCGGAAGCCAATTGAGAATCTTGTACATTTTCAAATCAAGTCATAACATATTTTTCATTTCCAAAATCATACATGAAACCTTTATAAAAATGATATAATCAAATTAAATGATTATTCCTTTATGCATGACGTCCACAAATCCTATTTTTATAATTCCACAACTATCTATGGGGCCTCTATACCAAAGAATAGAACCAACACTTGGAGTAATTCCAATAAAATAAAATAAAAAATAACACGATAGCTACCACGAAATAAAAATGGTGCTTCATAATACCTCGGAAAGAGAGTCATCCTAGCCCTGACCGCATGCCACGTATCATATATCATTCTGAAACATGTAAAGTAAGCGGGACCCTGGAGGGGGGCCCTAAAGGGCTGAGTACACCATGACGATACTCAATAAGTATCATATACTTTCTCTAACTTAAGTTCTTGGGACAAACTTTATAAAAATAATGCATCAATATTTGATATAAAACGAAAAGAAATTTTATCAATTCATGATCCTTGTCATTTTAAATGAAAGACAAGTAAAACATAACCCACAATATATACTTTTAAAACATTTATATCAACCCAAGATTTTGCAAGTGTTGATTATGAAAGACGATGAATAGTAACTTGGTGGCATTGGACAATCGATGTAGTATCAATAATGATTTCGAATGGGTATTAAAATATAAGAATGAAGTTGAATTGTCTAGCTTGTAAATCTATTCGGCGATTTGAGTTGTTGGAGGCTTGTAGCCAACTTATGAGTCATGTATGGATATTGATCAATATCTTAGGTCATACTTTGATGTAATTAGGATATCTAATTGTAGATATCGACTTGTTAGTGATGTTGAACATTTTAATCAACATTGGAATGATGGAGGAGGATTGAATACTTGTGAATGTTAATAAAGCGAAAACGAGGTAAGTTGATTAAAACTTACTCTTCTTGAGAGACTTTACTTTTTTTCGGAACAAACAAGCCTGTTATAGAGAGGGTTTAACTGTACCAATAAAAATCTCATGTTCAAAAATCTCTCGCCAACATCCCTATATAACAAACTTCGCTATAAAAGCCAAGCTTTTTCGGAACTAATTTTTATGCTATGTTATAATATATGTTCTCTATAACAGCACTTCGTTATAACATCCAAAAATATTCGAAACAAATAAGCGTGAGCTCCAGCACAAACATATATTGTGCTACGTTATAATATATGTTCTCACGTTCAAAAATCTCTCGCCAAGAGGATTTCCTATTACTCCATTATTCATGTGTAATTTCTACACTTTGAATACAATGCACATCTTATATACGTGCACACATACTATTTCAATTAGGATATCCAACAACTAAAAACTCTAGAATTAAAATAAATAAATATTATAAGCTATTAAGCTCAATAATTAGACTGAGCAACACCAGTGCAAACTGGTGGATTAATATCTAATTCTTAATCAAAACTATATAAAAACAATTTGCTAAAAATTGCACAAAAATTGGGAACTAATTAAAAAAAGCTCAAGAAGACTGAGCTCCAGCACAAATTGGTGGATTCTGTTTCCCTACTAACTTTGGCTTCACATTTTCACAACTAGATTTGGCTGGTCCTTCTTTTCCATTATAGGTAATGTCTATATCTCCAACCTCCACTCCATCACATGGTGCACCTTTACTGCACAGTAAAAGCACTGCATCTTGTGTTCTTGATGTTCCCCTTATGTTTTTTATGCTCACTTTGCTTATCTTTACTTTTGATGGCAACTGCAAAATTCACAAAATAAATATATGAGCCATAATATAACAAAATCAAATCTAGAACTTATTCTCAAGGAGTTTAACTCTTATACGCTGATAGTAGTAGCAAAGTTAGAAATTTCGTTATAGGTATTCAAGATTTAATATATATGTATAGGCGTAGTATATTTAACCTATATGTACAGTGTAATTTTCCGGCGAAGGGTGTTTAGCTGACCGTACTTCGCTATGTTTAACTTATATACTCAATATAGTTTCGCGAATGATGTTCAACTAATCACCCTTCGCCATATGTTACAAACGAAGGTGATTAACTCACGACCCTATTCGCAATATTTAACTTATATACATAGTATAATTTTCTGCGCGCTGAGGGGCTATCGGAAACGGTCTCTCTACTCCCTCGGGGTAGAGGTAAGGTCTGCGTACACACTACCCTCCCCAGACCCCACTTGTAGGATTTTACTGGGTTGTTGTATACATGGTATAATTTTCTGGCAAAGGGTCAGTTACCTGACATAAATTTTATAGTATAATATATCAGATCAGTCACTTAAAAAGATAAGTACAAGTAACTGCATAAAGTAGAAGTAAATGCATAAAGTTTTGTTCTTACATCTTTGTTGCATTGATTGTAAGGGCAATAGACTT